TTCCTCGTTTAATTAGGATCCTCAAACCTGACGCAGGAATCCCTTGATGGACTGCCTTTGCATTCGGCTATCGTCCCGCTCCTTGGAGTGCGAGCCGCGTGCCCTAATTGACCGGCGGTGATTTAATTGCCTCGTAAGCTTGCGATTTCTGAGAAGTGCCAGGCGGTGGTCAGCTACTACCCAGAATGTTTAATCATGTGCTGCGGACTCAGCGTCTCAGCGGTTTAGCGCCCCCCCACCACCACCGCCCGCATCATTCGACTTTAAACCATTTTGCGACAGTCATCGCTCGTGTGCGTTTACACCAACAAGCGGCCGCTTTGTTTATCCGCCTATCGGAGTTTAGTGAGGTCGGGGGGGGGGGGGCACTTATCGGCGCTAAACAAAACCCCCTTGCCGAGAGTGTCGCTGTGAATGTTGTACACCCCCCCCCTTTTTTCCACTGGAGTATCCGAGCCGTGCCAGTGCGTGTGTGGTGGGGGGGGGGCCCTCTTGCGGTACAGGTGGGGGGCTTTTTTGTTGTTTTACTGGGAGGGGTATGACGTTTGTCAGGTGTGTTCTAGTTGAGCCCCCCACCCTCGCTCCCTGCTCCCCCGCCCCCCAAGACACCATTCGGTAGCTTTTGGGGGGCGGTGTACGGGTAACTGTAAGTGTGTTCCCCCCGGTGGCGCCATTGTGAAACTTGTGGCAAGTTACGTTAATAAGTCTGTGTCTAACCCCCTTCGCCTTGAAATGCCAAGCCGAAGAGGAAATTGTCCACGTCGAGTCTTGGTTAGTGAATGCCTATCGTGGGTGATATCAGATGTAATCGACGACACTTAAGGCTTTATCTCAGTAAACATCATTGCTTACTGAAGAAAGCCAGTCTGGTGAAATGTTAAAACTGTGTTGATTGCCATTCTAAAACCCTTGAGCATAGGTTGGATGCAAGGTGACCAGGAGACTAGCCGTAGATTCTTGGAGCCAGTATTGTATTCTTCATTGATTCTTGAATCTACCTGTGTGCAACTTTGAGCGTCATCCCCTCGTGTGTCTGGTGGGGTTTCTTCCCTCATGGATCCTAACTCGATCAAACAGAGTTGACCTAGCTTCCCAATGTAGCTGCACACTTGTAGAAAGAAAAAAAACAGCCTTGAGTCTCAGTGCAGCGTTACTGGTTAAATAAAGGGCTTGGGGAGATCCTCATCCAGCAGTGGATTGACCATGGCTTTTGAGTATTTGTATACTTTTATTTAACTTGCCCAGTAGTGCATTTGTTATCTTTCGATGTGTTTAATTTTCTTTATGTTAGCCACCCACTGTTATTCAGCACATCAAATTTGATTAATTCTGGGGTCAAAATAATGTATTTTCTACTTCTGAGTGCAAATAAAAGTGTGTGCATTGGAAATCTAGTTTTTTTTTACCAACATTTGTAAATGTTCATTTTTTTCTTTAGCATTTCTGGTTCTTACGTATTTTATTTATACTTACTGATTATTAATAATGCATCCAATTACCATATATTTAAAACTGTAAAGCTATTTGAGGTGATCCAATTTGTGAAGGCACTATACAATATTGTATAATCTATCGAGTTTTGTATTTGCTTTATCATTATAATACCTGCATTGAACTCGAACCACATCGTAAATAAAGAGCCCTTGCCGTCAATTAGAATTTGAATATTTATATTACAGGAGGAATCCGATGAGCTATAAAGCTCTTTTTCACAGATGCCCAGTAGACAGTTTATCAGCAATTGATTCAAGCAAAGCCCGCAGTCTGCTGATGAGACACTGCTTGTCAAAACCGGTCCAGAATCTGCTTTGCTAGAATCAACGCTCCTGAAACTATACACTCCGAGAAGGCCGTACGGCTGATGGAATGTGTAAGGAAATACATTTGATAACAAAAAAAATTATGTTAAGAGACGGATATGTGAAGGAGAGATTGAGTATTTTATTTTGTTATGCAAAATTAATTTCGATTGGTTCAAGTTCCGATCGTCACTGTAAATTACGTAAAGACTGTTTTAATGAATACGACGGGGCATTACGCGAACTGAAACGCTAAAGAGCCCCCCCCCCCTCCTCATTCTTTGAACGAGCAGGGCATGTGCGTGGCGCAGGAATTGCTCGTTTTGATGTCTGAAGCCAGCATTGTGCCGCACCTCGGTGTGTGTGTGTGCCAAGAATGGCGCGTGACGTCACGCGGCGCTCGGATCTCGCATGTCTCAAACGAAAAAGTAAAAAAAAATTTGTTTTAAAAAAAGCTCTGCAAACTATCAGGACGTGCAGTCCTCCTCAGGGCTGTTTGCCGCAAACCCATCAAACTCACTTAAATGTTAACCTAGTGCACTTGACGGCGCTGAAACAGAACTTTGTGTGTTCACTCTTGAATTTACTATGCGTAGTAAATGACTGCTAGCCATAGTGCTTCACGGGGGGCGGCGGTGGGTAAGGAACGGTGGCGCAGCGGTGATGCTTTGAAGTTCGCCGCTTGAGTTTGATTCCAGGCCATGGCTAACGTCAGTGGCGAGTGATACCTGAAACCTGGGCCGAGGCACCCTCCCACCCCACCGCGCCCATCCCATATTTTACCACCCACACTGACCAGCCATATTGCTTTTTGTACAAAGCAGGGCCCCATAATTTAGATGGGAGTTCTCTTTCCAATAACATTTTCTGGCAACCCGATGCAAGCAGCATGTGTTTAACAAGCCTCACTATGCTGACGGCTGAAACCGCATTGCATAGTTTGCTTGCTTAAGCAAAAGCTGCCCGCTAAATATTGGTCCGGAAAGCCAATTGGCCGATCGATTAAAACATATTTTATTCATGTGTCCGGAGACACAAAATGGACATCTGTTTGTATATGTTATTAATTCATTTGTGAAGTATAATAAAACAAAACCCCTCTGATCAGTATGGCCTGGGGAAGGCCTTAATCCAGGAATACATTGATAAACGTCTGTAAATTATTAAACTCTCATTATTTCTCATTGCCAGCTGACTTATAATCACAGTGCACGTGCTGGTTTCAGCATTGATTTAGGTGAAATGGGTTGTAATAAAAAAATCTAAACAAATTTTTAATGTAAAATCCAAAACGGGATTGCATAGAGGAAGGAACATCATCGCCGACCTCGAATGACCTCGCCGCCGGTATTGTCCATCTTTAGCCTTGCCGCTGTGTTGAAATGGGATTTCCACGTCTCAACTCGTTCATCATCATCGTAGGAAGCATCGCGTCGCAAGGTTACATTTTGAAAGTGGTGGCGAGAAATGAAACTTTTTGTTCCATCTCGATCGGCGAGTGAAACAATATCTGGGCCTTTTTGTTTGTTTGTTTAATCCCTCCCCCCACCCCCACGTGTTTAGCGTGAAGGGAAATCGTGCGATCTCGATGCGTCGTGCCGCGTCGTGTGTTTTTGTGCGTTTGTGTTCCTTGGTGGGGGGGAACGCGTGAGGTGGAGGCGGTCAGCTGTTCCAACAACAGCCGCGGGTTCACATCTCGAGGTACGACGATCAGCTGCAATCAGTCCCACCACTGGACGAAGACAATACAAGGTCATAACCAATAGCCATTTTTTCAATCCATTGCTGGTTGAGGGCATCACCACGTTGTGTCTGTCGGTCAGTCGTGAGGGTGGTTTGGACCGTACCCCATCGTTTTGGTTGCCACGGTGGCGAGATGTTAACTACCTCATCTGGTATACAGGAGGTGGTGGGTTCGATCCTGACCCTGAAACCTGTAAATTTGGAGTGGATCTCTCTCCTTGTGGTCTCGTGGATTTTTTTCCGTGTCCTCCGGTTTTTCCCTCCACATTTAGAACCGTGCCTTTAGAGCAGGGGTTTGAAACGTCCGGCCCGCGGGCCTAAATGAGGCCCGCAAAATCATTTAATCTGGCCCTGCCAAGGCAACCGCAGGCGGGACTCAAAATTCAATAAATCTAGGAGCAAACCTGGAAAAGCAGTTGTGAGTCGCAACATCGTCAATACCAGCTAACATCACACGCCTCACCAAAGATAAGCAGTTCCAGCCATCACATTAGGGGTGAGTTAACTAAATGTTTGACTAAATATGACAGGCTAATTTTTAAGTTGATAATTTTGTATGGCCCGCAAATGATGTTGTAAATATCAAATGGCCCTTGGCAGAAAAAAAGGTTCCTGGCCCCTGCTTTAGAGTATTTGGCTGTCATAAGTTTCCATGCAATAAGATGCATCCTTGAGCTATCATGTATGGCCAGGTCACTTCTGAAAACGAGCGATATAGCTTAGTGGGCCTTACCTGGTAAAATAAAATAATAGTTTTAAGTTTAGTTGGTCAGTGTGGACAGGTGGTGCCAGTTCAGATATGTCATTGCCACTGATGTCTGATGTTAGCTGTAGCCGGGTGTAGCCTGGAAAGGGGAAGCTAAGGTGTATGGGTCACCTGCTTGGATGGTAGTTCACCGAGACCCTGCATTGGAGCCGCACTCGGAGGGTAGCGACCAAGTGGAAGACTTAAAACCGGATGGTGGTGATGATTAGACTCTAAGAATGGGCCCAGAAGGACATCTCAACCTTGCATCGAGGTGAGGTAGTGGTAATTGTGAGAATCAAAAAATAGACCTTGAAGATCAGTTTTTGACTTTGCAACTGGGCAAAGGAAGGACTAAAACGATGGCACAACGCTGCAACATCCTTTGCCATGACCATCTCTTGACCCAAACACTTACCTTCGCAGCCCTTTTGTCAATCCACTGTTGGATCAGGGCTTCCCCCCCATCACGTGGTTCATTTAACAATACTTCACTCCGATCATCGTGGCTCGATGAAGGTGGGGAGGCATAGTTGTTGGTGCATAGTACAGCACAACAATGGCTTTTGCTGCATTGTCTTCTGCTGCATTGACTTCTGCTGATAGCGCGGCCCTTGACCTTAACACCCAGACTGACTTACCATGGGGCTGCGCACGTGGATAATTGCCCGCCGTTCTTACTTACCCGCACTCTCCCCACGCACGCGGCACAGGTTCCGCGGGAGGGAGGATGGTGATCTCGGCACGACTGCCTCGCCGCCACCGCTGCCACCTCCTCCGCCGTTGCTGCCCCTGCCGCTCCACCGTCCGCTCTTTCTCCCGCCGCCTCGAGCCTTACTGCTAGGGCCGCCGACAACCTCCCCCCCTTCCCATCGAACCCCGGGGCCATGGAGGACGTCGTGGCGCCGCTATTGCCGAGCGCGGCGGCGCTCTTCGACCCGACGCCATCGCAGTTCTGGTCCGGAACGACGACGGCGGCGGCGCCGAACAGCACGTCGGAGTGCTTCGGCGCGCGCGGCCGCAACTCGGTGCTGCAGGGGACGCCGTTCGGCGGCGTCGTCATCGTCCTCGCCATCGACTTCGTCGTGTGGATGGTGAGAGCGGCGGGTGGCGGCGGTGTGACCGGGGTTGTGGGACCGGTCGGAGCGTGGCGAGTGAGCGGAGAGCGGTGCGTTTGCGGAATGCCCGTGCGCGTGCGTGATTTTTTGTCCTTGTTTCTTCGGAAAATTACGGGTGGCGGCGGCGGCAGTGGCGGCAAAGTAGTGCGATAGAGCGAGTCGGTGCAAGTTACTGGAAATTTATGAAGTCACAAGTACACTTTTCCATGCATGCTACGACGAGATTGTCACAGATTATTTAAATTGGACATTTCCACGGTTGGCTACGCACGGTATGAAAGAAGTTCTACATACAAATTATCGCTGTGGTGCAGCACGCGATTATTTACATGCATTTTGGAAATTCCCCCCCACTGTGAAAAGATTGCATGTTACATTATGAGACCTCCTTTGCCAGTAGCAAGATATAGTAATAGGTTTTTACCCTTTTATCTGGCACCAAAACTGACACCTTTATACAAGGGATCATGTTTGCAATAACCACAACACAAGCAGTCAAAATGCAAACAAAAAGAGACAACTCTGATAATGATATGCACTGCCCTTGAAATTGATTGGTCCACACCCGAGACGGCTTTTCTTAGAGCCTAGTCTCCACTGGTGTTGGACCAGATGACACCAAAAGGCGTACAACTCAAGTGGAGACTAGGCTCTAAGAAAAGCCGTCTCGGGTGTGGACCAATCAATTTCAAGGACAGTGCATATCATTATCAGAGTTTTCTCTTTTTGTTTGCATTTTGACTGCTTGTGTTGTGGTTATTGCAAACATGATCCCTTGTATAAAGGTGTCAGTTTTGGTGCCAGATAAAAGGGTAAAAACCTATTACTAGATTGCATGTTGTTTGTATTTATATCGCAGCCTACTGCAACCGCACCTCTAGACGCTGCACATGATCGGTTGGACGTGGGGTAGCGGCGACGGGTGGCAGCAGCGCAGTGGTTGGAGCGAGTTGGCGGAAGCGTTGTAAACATGTGAACTCGTAAATACAAGTCGAGTTCACCAAAACGGCAGAATGTTGTCCGATTACTAGGACTGTACTGTGTTGCCATGTCCCTGCTTGCCGTCTTCCATTAACCACACTGACTACTGCGGTGAAGGATGGGTCAGAGTCAGTACCACGTGGAGATGGCTGTGCCCGCTGGCAGAGATGAGTATCACCCCCTTTGCTCATGTGTGCTGTGGAGCGGCACTTTGAATTTTCGCACACTGGACAAAATGTAGGGTTTTTTTCTTGACATATCGACGACCGATCTGGGTCAGAGTCATTTGCTCCACCCTGCTCTGAAAATGTCACACGTGTTTGGCCCTGAATCCTGGACGTGTGTTGCGTTTTCATTATTTCTTTGGTCAAGAGAGTTTAGCAAAGGGCACGCACACAAACACGAGCAACCGAGAATTATGGCTACGATGTAGCTGGCCGTATAATAAAATCCATATGTGCTGTCAAGAGTGTTTGGAAGGCCTAGATTAATTTCCCTTAACTTTGCATTAAACCACTGGGAAAGAAAGAACGAAAGGAAGAAAAAAAACGACCGACATTATTGCTTCGTTTAGAAAAACACACTTGATGTGCACCGACTAGATCAAATGTCTTTGTCTGGTCACGTTCGCAAAAAAACACGAGATTTTGTTTTTAAGTGCTTGTGAAATTAAAATGGGGAGACGCAGGTGGTCCAGTGGGTGGGTAGTGTCGCTGCGCGGTGAACCCGATGACCCGAGTTCAGTTCCGGGTCACGGCTACCGTCAGTGGCGAGTGATATCTGAACCGCTCCTCGCTCCCTCCCCAGAAACTTCTGGTCCCAATGGGCTATTGCCTGATTATATATAAAGGGGGACATATAATTAGCTGTATTCTCATCCGTCTTTATTTCATATGGTGAGTCGGAGCTCGATTCCCAGCCATGGCTAACACCGGTGATCTCTGAACCCGTCCTGGGCCCCTCCCGCTTTTATCAATCCACACCGACCAGCGTGGTGAAGTATGGTCGAAACAACCGCCCCCCCCTCATGGTTGTCATGAATGCCCTCGTCCAGCAGTAGATTGGCAAAGGGACGTGACTTCTATTATTGTAACATGACAATAGATAGTATTTTCTACGATGTGTTAAAACCTACAGTGCACAGCGTGCATTTCACAATTTCAAGTTTTATTTGTTTCTAGCAACATAAAAAAAATAACCCCACGCGAATACAAATTTCAAGTGCGTAAACTCAAACGGACAAAATGAAGCAAAACATCTTTTAGCTGGTGCCGTACATTTCGACAGCGATTTTCGTCAAATTTCGTTGAAGGTTTTTAATGAAAAACATGTGTTTTAAAAAGTTGCCGTTTAATCCGTTGGCTCTGCCGATAGTTTAAATTTCACCCGAATTGCTTTTGAACACGGTAACAAAAACACAAACCCGCCCCGGCACCGGTTTCACCGCGATCCCTGAAACGAGTGGTGTGGCTTTCGTGCGAGGGATTTGCTGCTCGCTGATTTCAAATCCGCGGCGTGTTGCGCTTAGCGTGTTTGATTGTCTGCGGTCCGAGGACCACTTGAGCTGCCTTGGCGGTAGCGTATCTCCTCGGCGGTCTGCGCCTAATTGCCCCGAGTCAAAACTGGCGGCTGACAGGCCGGTCCCCTCCTTGGGGGGTGCAATCACCGTGAGCTTAATTAAATGAGGGGAGCCCCCCACCACCACTCCACCCGCTGACCCTGCCCCGCTCCCTCTTTAACGAGCGCCCACCCGGTTTAACGTATCCGTGGCTGCAAGCAGCTGGGAGACGTGACGAACGCTACGAACGTGCGGCTTCGCTCGGTTCACCCCCCACCCCCCCGCCGTTGTCGGTCTTGATCTCGCACTCACTCACTCTCCCGCACTCTGTCCTCAATAATATTGTCACCCGTCCTGGTTCTTGCAGGGTAGTTCTCTCCTTGAGGTGGACATCCTGGGAAATTTACAAGTCCTTGTTTGTTGCCAAGTTGCGTAACAGTACACCACTCATGCAGTAGTCTTCTTCCCATGACGTGTCCCATTATTTTGATCCTCAGAGGTGGTGACTATGCATCAGTGCAGCTGTGTGTTGTAGGGGAGCGGTCATCGCCGGAATGGTCTGGGACCAGGTTTGATTTTCTGGCAGTCAGATCAGTCCATCATACTCCCAAGGTAAATAAAATAAGCACCATTTTGCCCAGCATCATTATTGGGCCTATGGAGAGACTGGCCTCTGCCATATTGCCAATTCTCATGGACTCTTTCTCAGGAGGGTCATTTTGCAATTGCGTGCATGTGGGAGGAAACCGGAGTACCCGGAGAAAACCTTAGGCTCATGCAAGGGGATAACACTCATAGCTTCGCAAGGATAGTTTATTTCGGGTAAGGCCCATTGCGCTAAGAAGCTCTTTTTCAACGGCAACCCGGCCAAAAAGGCTTGTACGACAGCACGCACGTTACATGGGAAGAGAGGGGGGTTAGAGAAGCTGCATCGAGTAAATGCAGGGACATTTTCTGAACATAACGAATACATTTATAACAGTAAAAAACAAGCAGAACTATGTACAATGGAAAGCCAGTTAACAATCCAAAAATAAACATGCATGACTCTCGTGACAGGAACTGGGACATGGCATCTAAAATAGCATTCATAGCAGCAAGGATTGCAGTTGCATTTTCTAATTGAATGAAGTCTTTGTCACAGGAGGCATTTTAAATTTACAGTCACAAATGGCTTCACTGGATCTGTTCAAATCCAATACTTTGCAAAGTTGAACGAAATGTGCAGCCTTAGTCCAGCGAGTGACTGAATCCATTCTAGATTTAAAGCTTTCGTGACTGCAAGGATCCATACTCTTTGGTTCTATTCGGTAAAGTCACGTAGGTAAATAATAAAACAACAATAATCACGACGTTTCGGCCACAACACAAGCGGCCTTCATCAGGTGAAGGGACGAGCCTGTCTGGAGGACAGCGCTGGAGTGGAAGAAGCCACGCTTAGATCACGACATTTAAGCTGTGTGAGAAGAAGAAGAAGACCACGGGCTTTGACAAAGGAATTAGCATATAAATTAGCATTGAAATGGCTCATTGAAATAGCTAAGTTAAAGTATACACATCCGCAGAGGTGCCCCTTGACAAAGGAATTAGCATAGAATTTAGCATTTAAATAGTTTAGTGATTAGCTAGTAACTGGTCACAGAAATAGCTATGTTAAAGTCAGAGTATATGCATTCACCGAGGCACCTAGTACAAATCAAACAGGAGAATTTAGCGAAACACAACCACGCTGAGACATCGGACCTGTGTGCGAGCAAAGAGGTGGTGTACGTGCCGGTGGACTTGCAGTTTAGCGAGGGGGGGGGGGGGAAAGGGGGGGAGGGGGATTTTACCCATTGATGGTGTGAAAATGGGAATTTATAAGAGCTGCGAAAGTTTGGGGTACCACTCCAGCGCTGTCCTCCAGACAGTCTCGTCCCTTCACCTGATGAAGGCCGCTTGTGTTGTGGCCGAAACGTCGTGATTATTGTTGTTTTATTATTTACCTACGTGACTTTACCGAATAGAACCAAAGAGTATGACTGAATCCAATCCGCAAACTGCACCCGTCGCTTTGCTGCTTATTCAAGAGCCAACTCGGCTCAAGCCGACAGCCACCCATCGCCTTTGCCAAGCAGGCTCCAAACCCAAGCACGAACCGGACTCAACCCTGCCGTGCTGTCCCCTACAGCAAGTAGATGGGAGGCACAGGTCAACAAGCCCCTCCTCTCATCCCTCCGCGGTCCGCTAACTCCCGAGACGCAGAATCTCCATATGGACGTGATGGCGGTACGACGGTGCAGAATATCACACCCGTGCTCGAAAAACATTCTGACGATGTCGCCGTTGCACTTGAGTGAGCTGCAGACTCTCCGTCAGAAGTTTTCTTGGATTCAGCAGCTGCTTTCCCATCAAACGTGACATGAGTCGTAACCTTTCGATGCCACCGTCCGCCAAGAAATTATTCCTGAAACGAATCGAGGAGCCATCCGACCAAAATCTAGGGCACGAGTCAAATCTGCCTTTGGAACACGGAGCCAATCGTCATCAGGCTTGTGGTGCTATACAGCAATAGACTGTGAAGCTTCGTGTCCAGCTGCTTACAACTTTTTGCCTTCCGACTGCTTTGACATCACGAGAACTGATTTTGACGCACCACCCCGAAAGAATCGTGGGAAAATAAACAATAATTGCGCAAAAATAGCTATTTCTTTTTTATACCATGCATCGGTTTACCGCCAATACGTTCATTTGACGGTTAACGCATTGGACGTGCAAGAGTGCATCAATCAATCGGTGAAAAACCGATTCCTACTCTCACGACGTATGCATCGAATCGCGCGGGTTGAGAATGTGTTAGAAATCCCGATTTACTGGAATGTATGCCCAAATAAAAAGCTCGTGTGACGTGCGTTAACGCCGGTGTGCACATGGTAGGCTCGTGTTAAACGTTCGCCAATGGGGTGGACGCAGTTGTACAGATGAGACAAAATTATGGTAAAAACGAGACAATGAACAGTGTCATCGTTTGTTATTATTCATACTGTGCCTTGCGTGCGGCGTATCTCCCGCCAGAACAAAAGGGGTAATTGAGATAATTACAAAGTAAAGAAATTATTACAGACTACATAACAATGCTTAAATACAAGACAGACCAAAATACGATTGCTCCTAAACAATACAGACCTAATATGATTCTCAAACACCACAGAGTATGTGGACCAACATGGCTCCCAACCATTCTGGACCCGTGAACCGCTTGTCAACCCTCAACCTATGTTCTATTCTAAAAGCTTTGTACAATGTTACAAAGTCAATTAAACAATTAACTTTCTTTTCATTGGCTCTAATAAATTGTAAAAAAAGTTGTACAATGGCCAGTCAAAAAAAGAAAGTTGCTTTGTGGAAATCGTAGCATCCGCTCCAGTGCTACGGACCACTTCCCATGGCCTCGTGGGCCACCAATGGTACTGAGAGGGTCCACAATGCACTTCTTCAGGAAATGCTGATGGTCCTTGCTTATGCGCAGAGGTCATGTCCTTTTTGCATATTTTTGCGTCTCGTAAGAAACACCAGTGTCCCGCGGACCAAGGGTCGGGAGCCGCTGCTGTAGATAACGTACACAACAGAGGAGATCAAATGAAAGTGGGAAGCGGTACTGTGCTCGAGATGAATTGAATCGAATCGGAACTGTGAATAGTGACAATGGAATCGGGGTCGGGGTGCGTCGCTACCACCTCCGAACTACCGCTCATCGCCGCCACCAGCACCGCAGCAGGCGCTGCCGTTGTTATTCTCACACCCCCGCACCCCCCCCCCCGCCCCCCCCGCTGCGCTCGCTGGCAGTGAAAAGGCCGCCCTGAGTGCAGAGTATCCTGGATCAGCAGCAGTGTGGCCGCTTCCTGGACCTCAGCAGCGCCGTAATTACCCGGCGCAGGTGGGACAATCGCGCGTGGCGGCGGCGGCGGCGGCGGCGGCGTGTGGCGTGTGGCGTTTGGCGCTGCTATTCCTGTGACCCGTGGGGTACTGCTGCTCTCGCTCTTCCCTACAGGCGCTGCTCCTCCTCTTCTCGGTGCTAAGGAAAGTGGCGTGGGACTATGGGCGGCTGGCTCTCCTCAACGATAATGACAGGTGAGCGAGGAACGGTGAGAGAGGAGCGCGCAGCTGGGCTCTTGACGAATTTCGGATTGACGGGGGAATTATGCGAGCAAGGGGAGGTCGCTGGGTTACTGTGGGTTTTGGGGGGGGGGGAGGCGGGGGATATGAAGGGGAGGCGTGCGCGATGCAAGTAGGATGCAGGGGTATGTGGGGGGGGGGTCGTGCTTGAGTGAATTGCGAATTGGTTAAAAATCACGCGCGCGGTCTTACTTTTTTGTTGTGTGTGCTTTTTTTTGGGTGCCATTTCTTGATGTGTTTATTCATTTTTGATTTCGCTTGGTGTAATGGGTTTTCATTTTGCTTTGGTAGTGGCTGTATATGGCATTTGGTACTCCTATATAATTGCTGTACAGCATTATGGGATGCTTTTGCCATGAGTGACGCGATATGAAATGAAACTGTTATTATGGCTAGAATTAAGAATAGGATTCAACGTGTGATGAGTCGCTAACGATATTTAGGGGAGTCGTCTCGTCTGGAGGGGTTTGGGTGCGTCGGAATCGGCCGCGTTACAGTGGTATAACATCAAATTGCATGTATAAATAGAAATTCACAAATATCACATATGCTTGACTACTGCCGTTGCCATCTCAAATATGAATATTTAATATATGTTGCTTTTGCGCTTATCTGCTGTGAGATTATTTTGGTCTGAGTGGCAAATTGCATCAATTGTTTATGTGCATCACAATGGGGTATGGCACTGTGAACCCGGCTTCCTGAGTTCGATTTCTGGCCACGGCCCACAAAAGTGGCGAGTGACATTTGAACTGGCCCCAGTACGCAACCGCGCCACCCGCCCCTCTCCTCAGGCCCACACTGACCGGCGTGGGGTGAAGCATGGTCAAGAAACCCTCATGACTGACGCAACCCCGGGGGAGGCCTTTAGGCAACAGCGGATTGACCACGTACTGAAAAATAATAATATTATTATTATTGCAAGCTGCGGGATAAACAGCAAGTTAAGCAGTAACGTGTGTGCTTGTCTGCCTTTGTTAACTCAACGGGTGTATTAAATCGATGTCTACATGTTGGAGTAGTATTGTTTTTTTTCTTTCACCATGGGAGTTGTAATGGATTTGTGCGCAGTATTTGTACATGCCACACAAAGCGAGGCGGGCCACGCTGTGTGTGCTCGTGCAGTAGTCGCACAGCATGCACGTTTTTTTAAAGATATTAACTCGAGCAGCCGGCAGTAAGCTGCTGCCTAGCTTCCAGTAACGTGTGTAACACAAAGCTTCCTGCCTCTTGTTACCACTAGAATTGTTAATCTATTCCCTCTCTTCCAACAACTATTATTATAATAATAATAATAATCTACTATTGATACCAAAAGTCACGGAACCGATTGTCAAATCCAGTGACAATGTGTATCTGTGAACCACACGGCGCCGTTTCACTGCGTTTGGTCAGCGGCTGCCAATCACTGGGCATCGGAGGCGCAGGGCTTTGTCGGCCAATGCGTGACACGTTCCAGCAGACACACAGACGTACACTCGTGGGACTGGACTTGTACTTCTATCGTTGGGCAGAGCGCTACGAGTGGCAAAGCACATATCCATTAAAAAAAAAAACCTTTTCTGTTGCATTTGATTATCGATAACGCAAACAAATCGAAACTAGGGACCCGAGTCGCCATTGCACGCCATCATTAAACCCCCCGGCAGTGTTCGTCTCTGCTCCGTTTTTATTTGATTGCGTTTGCCATCTGCAGAGCGTATGAAGAAACTGTGTACGGCTCGACTCGGCTCGTGCGTCCAAGAAAAACCCACATGGACCTACGAGAGACTCGGAGAGCTCCAGAGTATGTTTAGTCTAATGTTTTTAAGGGGGAGAGATTTGTGGGTTTGGACGCGGCCTGCATAATAAATACTCGCGGGCTGAGGCCTGCCAAGCGCCGGCGCGCGGCTGCTTACTCTGCCGTTTAGGTTCCGCCCCCCCCCCCCCCCGCTAATAAAATGCCCCATCACCTATCTGAAACTTTTTGGCTTTCCCATGAAGGAGTAAATTTATAACCGTAACGCGGTTGCTTTCCGAGTAGCAACAATGTGTGCAAGGTTCACCATTATTGCCTTCTTAACGTCGTCGTCATCATCATCATCGTATGGCCACGATTGGTCTCTTACTGGATGAAGGCCTCCCCAAATCGCTGCTTTCTCTCGTGACCGTGCGACGCAACAGTGAAGTCTGCAAAGACTTGCGAACGGAGGTCGCTGTTCCGTCTCGTTGGTAGATGTCCTCTCAGATGCGTTCCTTCCATTGGCTGCGATATTTTAACTACCTCGATCCCAACCCTAACCCCTGTATATTTGGAGTTTGCATGTTCTCCCCGTGGTCGCGTGGATTTTTATCCGGGCCCTCCGGTTTTTCCCTCTACATTTAGAGTCAATATGCGTTTAGAGTGTTTGGCTGCTTTCAATTTCCACATGATAAGTTACTTCATGGGCCTGTCATGTGTGGCCTGGTTGCTTCTGAAAAATAGCCATGTAGCTTTGGGCCTTACCTGGTGAAATTTAAATAGTTTAGTTACAAGCAACAGCTGCTCTTGCCTTACCGAAATGAAACATTAAAAGTCTCCTGATGTCAAAATTAGCATTCGACAGCCTTCCTGATTGGTCCCTGAGCTAGCGATGTAAATTTCACATTCCTATGACGTGGACAAGTAGAAAAACCACAACTGTGGCTGCTGACTTTGCTGTGCAAAATTATGCAACCTGGCCGATCGGCACTGACTTTACCAAACCAAGTGGCATGGTGATGATAATGATGATGATTGTGGTGGTAGAAGTGGTGATGGTGAAGACAGTGGTGGTAGTGATGATTGGTGGTGGTGGTTGTATTGATTATGAGGTGGTGGTGATAGTGTTGATGATCATGATTGTGAAATATGTGCTGGTCGTAGTGATCGAAATTATGATGATGGTGGATGTGATGGTTATAATTGTGATGTTGATGATGGTGATAATAAATATGATAAATCATGGTCGGGCTTAGTTTGCGAATCGCAACAAATATATTTGATTTTATCATGGTGAGGACATATTCAAAGCTCGTGTAGATAAGTGACTTTCGTAGCGAAGTTTTACCATGCCCTCGTCATAACCACAGCCTTAAATTCTGTTACGCAATCATCGCTACTGTCGGGGGTTTTATTTTCTTTAAATGTTCTTGGGTTTAGAACGTTTATTTTCGGTGCAGCTCGAGCATATTACTTTTGGCAAGTAAGTATTCGCGACCGGGGCTTACGTGGAATTTCAGAGAAAACAGATGCGTGCAAACCGGGTTTCTAGTATGCGGTCTATTGCAGAACGGTCGCGAGCTGGCGGAGGAGGGGGGGGGGGGGGTGGACGGTGGTGGCACGACCCAGAAACCTGACTGTAAGGTTACGGACACACCACCACAACGCCCAACCACACGCTCGGGGGGGGGGGCGGGGGGGGCGAGGAATTCTCGCGTTCCAACGCGCGCGCGCGTGCCAATCGTGCTGGTACGCGGCATATTGAAAAGGATGTTCAATGTAAAAGCATTTCATAGACCTATTTCACTTTAGAAACTATGGAGGTCTGGGCACTGGTGCTGGCAGGCTGTGTTTGTTAATGTTGGTGGCAATTGATTTCGGGGGTTTTTGTCGTTGTTTTGTGTGAAAACATTCAGTGGTTCTCAAGACGGATTTTCAGACAGACGAACATAACGGCGATACAACCCGGGCATAGCAATAGGTGTCCAGTCGGCTCTTGTAAAGCAAAACAAAGTCCTTACAAGCTTGCTGGGAATGACGCCATCATTTAGCTTCTGTGAAAAGTTTCAATTTCGTGCCACGAAGCACATCAACGTTTCATATTCTTGGTTCTTTCGGTAAAGTCACGTAGAAGGGAAACAATAAAATAAAAAATATATAGAAAACAATAAAATTATCACGACGTTTCGACTGCAACACAAGCAATCATCATCAGGTGTGAAAACCACAGCAAGAAAATTTGAAAAAAGTGGCGGGTTTTTTTAACGTAAAAAAAAAACCCGCCACTTTTTTCAAATTTTAAATCAAAATTTATATCAACGTTTGTTTACGGGGAGTCACTGAAGCGCTTTCCCCCCCGAGAGCGGATACCGTGGTGAGCGGTTGACCCGGTTTTGTGAAGGTGATTTCCCAAGTGTTGTCCACCCAGCCTGGCGAGCAGGATGGGTGACATTGTGCGTGCGTGGTTGAATGGCGCCGCGCACCGATGCGGCGTGCGCATTTTTGCCACCGTGGCACCAGCAGCGGTGGTACCGGCGGCGGTGGCAGCAACGCATTGAAACTGTTGCCAAATGTAACATGCGAGGGACTCCAATTGGGCTCTCAACACATGGCTATCGTTTGGTTTGGCGATTCAATAGACCCGCAGTGAGCTGAAAGGGCGTGCACCTCACTTTGTCTAAAAGTTCCCAATTTTTTTTTGTTTATTGGGCCGGATCGCTCCCGTGCGAGTTCGGTGCCAATGTGTGTCATATACCCTCCTTCACCCGACGCAGCCAAGAAAAGAAAGATGCCTTGTGTACAAATACGTATTTTTACTGCTTCGGCACGCCGGTATGTTGAGCAAACCGCACGTTTAACAAATATTACTCTTGGATTGCTCTTGAACTTAGCGGTGTACGGAAGCTATAAAAAGCGTCGCTTTTGTTCTTGTAACAACTTTATGCGGCTGTCAGGCGGCCGAGGGTGTCCAACAAACTTCTTGGCATTGAACACACGTGGCAACCTAACTAAAAAAAAATGAATTTGTAACCATAACGTCGGTCGCAAAAGCCTGCGTGTTTAGAACAGTTTCTTGCGAGTAAAATGCCCTGTTTTTTCAGGGGCTTTCTGTTTGTAAAATAAAAACAACCATTATTGTGTCCTTTATTTACTCCCAGACTGCTCTGTGGCATGTCTCACGAGGTCTCGGGACTAATTTTTTTCAGGAGGGGGCCCTGCTACATTAGGATGTTTGGAAGAATCCATCAATGAATGAGCATTTGTCTTCATGCGGGAGAAACGACCAGTGCTTGGAGAAAAGACCATGCGCAGATTGTGTCGATGTACTGCCAACATCTCCTCGTCAACATGGGCAACCCAACGTTGGGCATTGTTACGCTGCTGTCGGGCCACGCAAGCTCCTTACGGGAGTTGCTTCGGCTACACGACAGAACGCCGATAGCACAATCGGACATAATTGTAAGGAGAGAAAGAAAAAAAAAACCCGCAAAAATAATTGGTAGAAAAATTGGGGGTGCGGAGGTGGGGGGGGGGGATAATTGCCGGCTGTTTGCCACGGACACGGTGGGGGTTTCCAGAGACCGGTGTTTGTTTGCACCGCGACAAATGCGCAAGCTGACCTGCGACCCCCCCAACCCGTTGTGTGTGTTCCCGCTAAGCAGGCCGTCCCCAGAGCGGGCGCGTGATTGATGGCGACCGAGGCCCTAATGGATGGGCCGAGTCACTTTCGTGTGGAAGGAAAAATAAAGAGCGGGCTCCCCCGTGGGGGTCTCCCGACTTGAGCCACCTCCGGGGTCGGAGAGACGGCCTCTGATCGCGACCCGGGGAGGGGGGGGGGGGCCACCACCCAAATTTTCCGGCCCCTTCCGGACATATCCCCGCGGCCGTTATAATAACAACAATAATTCCATAATTGGGCTATCGGCTGGTGGTAAATGTTGATTTTGAACAGCGCGCACGACAGAAAGCGGTGCGGGATTTTGTCAGCGGCGGTTTTTGTCTCGGCTTGAGAGCGCCTTTGCCTCGTCTGTCTTTACAACTTTGTGTAATCAGGGTTGATGGAGGAAACTTGGCATGTCACATGGACTGTCCACGCACGCTTAGCTCCCTCAGGTTGCTCGACACTTTATATTCTAGGTGGAGGCTATCGACTTACTTTAAACGCTGCGGTGAGGGCACTCTTTTTTTAAATTCAAAACAATCGTTCTTAAAGATATTCATTAAATCGGGTGGATACTCGGAGCCATTGCGGTAACATTTTTGTTGATGACTTGCCCTGCACTGAAAACGTAAAATTAAATCTATACGGATCTTTGGCTTTATTTTTGCTGCAGAAAAGAAAAACGGTCTTGCAGAAAAAAAGAGCAGCACATGATAATTACACAGCTGCGTTAATTTTACGGTTTGCTTAAAGCAGTTTCGGATTCCCACCATAGTTACGGTTTCGCTTAACTGGCATGTTGGCAGCAGTTGAAAGGAGCTGATCTTTTTTGCATATTTTAAAAGGTGCAGGTGTTTTTTTTAGTTTTCTAATACCCTTTATTCTAGTCGTCATAACTTGTTCATTATTTGTACGGTTCCCCCCCCCCCCCCGCCCGCCCCAATTGCACGAAATTTGTGTTCATCCAGAAGTCCGAATTGATTTTCGGCGAAAAGAAAAATGTTTGTGAAAATGTTTTACATCGACCCTCTACTCGCGCATTTGCAAGAAATGTTGGAAACTTTTCACTGTGCTCATTTCCGCTTCTTCCTTCTGCGTGTCCGCCGTTGGTGTGCGGCCGTAAAAGCCTTGCTTCTCGTTCTGTAAACCGCGTAACGTTTTGGGCACCTTTGTTGTTGATTGACCAGTGGCGCATGAGTGTAAAAAAAACATAAATTCTTTATACTCCTGCGTATACTCATGCAGAAGAAGACCCGACATAAATTAAATTGCCATTATTTAATCTGCAGAGTTCCAACCCTAAACGTACATTTCTGACGGTCTGTTTTTGCGTCCGACCGCAAATACTTGCCGATTTAAACCAAAGCGCAAAAAAAAAACCCATTAAAAAAAATGTTTATTTAGA